CATATCGTATCAGAGCCCAAGAGACCCTCACACAGCCGGAGTTCTTAGTGTCCATTTTTTTAGAAGGTGGCGCAAAGTTCTAATAAAGGGGGGGAGGGGTACAGTAGAGGCTTACCTACCCTGTCTATCGAATAAATAGGAATTTTTAAACGTTTGGTTTAGGTTTTTGGGTTTGCGTGACACCCTTATTTTGGGACTTCGAGGGTGCGTTGCTCTCGGTAACAAATCCCGACATGAAATTCAGTTGTAGGATTTTCCAGGATTTTGGAATATAGCAGTACTGACAAACTTTAAATGAAATTACTGGAAGCATAATGAATTCAAATGACGATTTGCCCTTTAACCCATTCGCCCCGGATTTATGTTCTGTCCCCTGTAGTTTTTGGTGAATTTTGTTACATACAGATGGCTCCACATGTGCTCAGCCGACAAGGAGCCTGTCAGTAGGCCCTAGTTACCGACCCTGATTTTCCCATTCATTGAATTGGCGGGAAAATTAATACCATTGCTATCGATACTGTTATTATTGTTATTGATGTTATGATTATTAGATTATCATTAGAATATTTTAGACAATGAAATGATACAAAAAAACCTTTCTTAAAGTGAAGGAAAAGGGTAAACAGGTGAAGTAGGTAGTTCTTGATAAATGGCTATTTGGTGATTAAGAACTTGTGGAGCCATCTATGTGTAAATACAGTAAATAAACGTGTATCAAAGTGGGTATGGCATCTATTCTTGCCACGAGGGGCGAAGGGGTTAAGACCGAGTTTAGGCAAAGAGAAGTAAATTATATATGCCACCATTGTACCTACTGGCTCTCTGGCAAAGTCCAACATGTCTCCACAATATGTCCTTTGGGGAAGTAGAGCTTATAGAACTGCCCCAAGCTGTGCCTTGCCAAAGCACATGGCATATGCTTATTGGCCATCACTCAGGTTTAAAGTGCAGAGGTAATGACAGTCACTTGACACTACATGCTGCAAATGGGTCCAAATAGGACACAGTCACCAAAATTATGAGATAAAAGTCCCAATTTGAAAGTGAACACAAGTGTTATCTTCATATAGTCAAGTAATAGGAAGAAAAAGAAACTTAATTTAGGGATGACATGGTTTGAGAAAATGAGGGAGTGAGACAGGAAGAGAGACAGGGAGCGAGAGAGGGAGAGAGAGAGGGAGGGAGGGAGGGAGCGAGAGAGACAGGGAGAGAGAGAGGGAGCGAGACAGGGAGAGAGAGAGGGAGAGAGAGAGGGAGGGAGGGAGCGAGAGAGACCGGGAGAGAGAGAGGGAGCAAGACAGAGAGCGAGAGAGGAAGAGAGACAGGGAGCGGGAGAGGGAGTGAGGCGAGACAGGGAGTGAGAGAGACAGGGAGTGAGAGAGACAGGGAGTGAGAGAGACAGGGAGTGAGAGAGACAGGGAGTGAGAGAGACAGGGAGTGAGAGAGCTGAGCGAGAGAGCTTGAGCGAGAGAGCTTGAGCGAGAGAGCTTGAGCGAGAGAGCTTGAGAGAGAGAGCTTGAGAGAGAGAGCTTGAGCGAGGAGAGCTTGAGCGAGAGAGCTTGAGAGAGAGAGCTTGAGAGAGAGAGCTTGAGCGAGGAGAGCTTGAGCGAGAGAGCTTGAGAGAGAGAGCTTGAGAGAGAGAGCTTGAGCGAGAGAGCTTGAGAGAGAGAGCTTGAGAGAGAGAGCTTGAGAGAGAGAGCTTGAGAGAGAGAGCTTGAGAGAGAGAGCTTGAGCGAGAGAGCTTGAGCGAGGAGAGCTTGAGCGAGAGAGCGTGAGCGAGAGAGCTTGAGAGAGAGAGCTTGAGAGAGAGAGCTTGAGAGAGAGAGCTTGAGAGAGAGAGCTTGAGCGAGAGAGCTGAGCGAGAGAGCTTGAGAGAGAGAGCTTGAGAGAGAGAGCTTGAGAGAGAGAGCTTGAGAGAGAGAGCTTGAGAGAGAGAGCTTGACTTGAGAGAGCATGAGAGAGAGCTTGAGCGAGAGAGCTTGAGCGAGAGAGCTTGAGCGAGAGAGCTTGAGCGAGAGAGCTTGAGCGAGAGAGCTTGAGCGAGAGAGCTTGAGCGAGAGAGCTTGAGCGAGAGAGCTTGAGCGAGAGAGCTTGAGCGAGAGAGCTTGAGCGAGAGAGCTTGAGCGAGAGAGCTTGAGCGAGAGAGCTTGAGCGAGAGAGCTTGAGCGAGAGAGCTTGAGCGAGAGAGCTTGAGCGAGAGAGCTTGAGCGAGAGAGCTTGAGCGAGAGAGCTTGAGCGAGCGAGAGAGCTTGAGCGAGAGAGCTTGAGCGAGAGAGCTTGAGCGAGAGAGCTTGAGCGAGAGAGCTTGAGCGAGAGAGCTTGAGCGAGAGAGCTTGAGCGAGAGAGCTTGAGCGAGAGAGCTTGAGCGAGAGAGCTTGAGCGAGAGAGCTTGAGCGAGAGAGAGAGAGAGAGAGAGAGAGAGAGAGAGAGAGAGAGAGAGAGAGAGAGAGAGAGAGAGAGAGAGAGCGAGAGAGCTTGGGCGAGAGAGAGAGAGAGAGGGGTGGTATTGAGAAAAAAAAAGAAAGAGAGAGAAGGATTGACAGAAAAAGAAAAAGAGAGAGTGGGATTGAGAGAAAGAGGGAAAGGGATTGAGAGAAAGAGGGAGAGGGATTGAGAGAAAGAGGAAGAGGGATTGAGAGATTGAGGGAAAGAGAATTTGAGGGATTGAGTGAAAGATTGAGGGAAAGAGAATTTGAGGGATTGAGTGAAAGATTGAGGGAAAGAGAATTTGAGGGATTGAGTGAAAGATTGAGGGAAAGAGAATTTGAGGGATTGAGTGAAAGATTGAGGGAAAGAGAATTTGAGGGATTGAGTGAAAGATTGAGAGATTGAGAGAGAGAGAGATTGAGGGATTGAGAGATAGAGAGAGATTGACAGAGAGAGAGATAGAGAGAGATTGACAGAGAGAGAGATAGAGAGAGATTGATATATATATATATATATATATATATATATATATATATATATATATATATATATATATATATATATATATATTAGAAATGAAAATATATCCTAACTAGTCAAACTTTTCACAAGTTCCTTTTCAGACAAATTATATATTAATTTATCCATGTGATTCTGGGGAAGAAGTCCATGTTACATTTTTAAAAATTTCCCTAAGAATTGAGGTGGATTTTGAAGTTATGCAATGTGGCACTAATGAGTCAGCAGAAATAGTTTCATGTTTTATTTTGCGTTGTAGTCATAGCCATATGGGTGCTGAGTTCCAGCCTGTTGTCTCCCTCTCTCCCTCTCCCTCTCCCTCTCCCCTCCCCTCCCCCTCCCTCTCCCCCTCCCTCTCCCCCTCCCTCTCCCCCTCCCTCATTCCTCGGCATCAGTGTTCACAACGGTTATCATGTGCAATGTTGAAATTATTGCACAGTATTTTTTTTATTATTCTGATGTGTATAGAAAGTCAGGTATTGCTTATTCTTTCACTTTTACAAGTATCTGTTGTAGTTCAGGGGACATCTGTATTACAGCATGCAAATATTTTATTTTATTGTATCTGAACACTTGAAATTGTTTTCTTTTTATTTTCCTTCTTTCTTTTTTTTTTCTCTTTTTTTCTTTTCCTTTTTTTCATTTCTTATTTTCATTTTCTTTTTTCTTTTTTTTTTCTTTTCTTTTCTCTTTTTTGTTCTTTTTTCTTTTCTTTTCTCTTTTTTTTTCTTTTCTTTCTTTTTTTTTATTCTTTTGTGTGGATATAATTATTAGGTTCATATATTGATATTTGTTTTATCTCTATTGTGATTTTTGCTATCATTATCATCATCATCACTGTTATTATAACTATTAAAATTCCATGGTGGCTAGAGTACAGATGGTTTGTGATGGAAATTTTGTTTCATTGTAAATAGAAATGTTCGCAGTTTTATGAAACCATGTTCATCTTTTAAGAGATCACTGTCTTATAGTCTGATTAAATATGAATATGGATATGAATATATATACTGCACACACGCACACTCATGCACACGCACACGCACATACACACACACACACACACACACACACACACACACACACACACACACACACACACACACACACACACACACACACACACACACACACACACACACACATACACACACACATACACACACACACACACACACACACACACACACACACACACACACACACACACACACACACACACACACACACACACACACACACACACACACACTGACACACACACACACTGACACACACACACACACACTGACACACACACACACACTGACACACACACACACATTGACACACACACACACACTGACACACACACACACACACTGACACACACACACTCTGACACACACACACACACACACTGACACACACACACACACACACTGACACACACACACACTGACACACACACACTGACACACACACACTCTGACACACACACACACACTGACACACACACACACTGACACACACACACACACTGACACACACACACACACTGACACACACACACACACTGACACACATACACACACACTGACACACACACACACACACACACACACTGACACACACACACACACTGACATACACACACACACTCACACACACACACACACACACACACACACACACACACACACACACACACACACACACACACACACACACACACACACACACACACACACACACACACTGACACACACATACATGTATTTATATTTATATATATATATATATATATATATATATATATATATATATATATATATATGTATATATATATATGTATATATACTCATATTATATTTACGATGTTACATCAAATGATCATTAAAAAGTAATCAGTTTATATTGATTTCACAATTAGTTGGATAGTTGATCAATAGTTCACAGACCAACCAATTAGCAGGTGTTGCAGGGGATCTTTAAAACTTGATATTACTTTATGACGTGTTTATAGGAATAACTACTTTTGTCATTGGTACATCTCAATTTAACTTCATAATTGTTCTGTGTGTGTGTGTGTGTCGCCGTACATTTCCGCGAGAAAGGATCTCTGAGGCGTCTTTAGTTACAGCTACAGTTGGTGTTCGACTCGCAAGAATGGCTTCAAGTGCCGTGCATAGTTGGAATTTTCCGGTTTTCCTCCGCTCGCTATATCGCCGAATTCCCGTAAAGACTATCGGTAACGTTATGTCGCGATGAATGAGAATTTTGACTAGACCAATGCCAGGCGCCGGTGCGTGTGCTCTGTCGGAAAGCGATTGTCACCCGGCATGCGAACTATGGTTTTATTTCATCCCGCATTCTCTCCTCGGGGGCGAAAGGATGTTGCATTGGTGTTGACCGCGTTGAGATGCTGTTATTCTAATGGTAATGATATTTGGGCAGTTATTGAAGAGATATTACTCTCTCTCTCTCTCTCTCTCTCTCTCTCTCTCTCTCTCTCTTTTTTTTTTTTTTTTTTTTTTTTTGTATTCTGAATTATCGTTGATAAGAGGACTTGGCGAAGGATTGTTTGTATCGCGTCTTATCTGATATTAGGGAAATTGAAGTGAAGGATTCGTTATCAGCGACATGAATGGGATGATTTAGAGAGGGGGAGAGAAAGGGAGAGGTAGAGGTAGAGAGAGGTAAAGAGAGGGAGAGGTAGAGAGAAGGAAAGGGAGAGGTAGAGAGAGGGAGAGGTAGAGAGAGGGAGAGGTAGAGGTAGAGAGAGGGAGAGGTAGAGGTAGAGGTAGAGGTAGCGAGAGGTAGAGAGAGGGAGAGGTAGAGAGAGGGAGAGGTAGAGGTAGAGAGAGGGAGAGGTAGAGGTAGCGAGAGGTAGAGAGAGGGAGAGGTAGAGAGAGGGAGAGGTAGAGAGAGGGAGAGATAGAGAGAAGGAAAGGGAGAGATAGAGAGAAGGAAAGGGAGATTTAGAGAGAAGGAAAGGGAGAGATAGAGAGAAGGAAAGGGAGAGAGAAGGAAAGGGAGAGAAAAGGAAAGGGAGAGAAAAGGAAAGAGAGAGAGAAGGAAAGGAAGAGAGAGAGAGAGAGAGAGAGAGAGAGAGAGAGAGTAAGATAGAGAAAGAGAGAGACAGAGACAGAGAGAGCAGATTAGTTAGAATGTTCGAGTGCTGGCGGGGTGTGTATGTGTAGGGGGGTGGGGGTGTCTGCGTGTCTTCAGGGCCGTACAACAGGTCAATTGTTTGGTAAATATCTCTCTCTTTGCAATGCGGATTCGTACGATTTACGTGTTTCTTCCATCTATCTCTCTTTCTTTTTTGTTTCTCGTCTGTCCTCTCTCCCTCTTTCTTTCATTCATTCTCTCTCTCTCTCTCTCTCTCTCTCTCTCTCTCTCTCTCTCTCTCTCTCTCTCTCTCTCTCTCTCTCTCTCTCTCTCTCTCTCTCTCTCTCTCTCAGCCTAAATGACTAAATTCGTCACTACCCCCCCCCCCCACACCTGTGAAATACATATGTTTTGTAATTACACACTTACGTGGACCGAAACCCCATGTATATATATATACTGTAGTTTTAACAGGAATTTCCCGGTCGTGAAAAAGTGAATAAAAAAGAAAGATCGTAAAGAAACATATTTTTGTTTGTTTAGTTTTTGTTTATTTATTTATTTGTTATTATATATTGTTTGTCTATCTATTGATTGAAAAGTGTGTGTGTTGGTGTTGTTACTGTTGTATTTTATTGTGTAGTTTTACGTGCTACGTGATTTTTTTTTGATATGATTAGTTTTCATATTTTATCCTTAGTTGGTTGTCTTATTTCGGCACAGGTGTGACTGTACACATAAAAAAAAATAAATAAAAAAGCAAAAAAGAAAAAATCAAGGTGTGACAGACTCACACACTCACACTCACACACACAGACACACACACACACACACACACACACACACACACACACACACACACACACACACACTCACTCACTCACTCACTCACTCACTCACTCACTCACTCACACACACACACACACACACACACACACACACACACACACACACACACACACACACACACAGTTTATCACGCCCTAAATGGCTACTTTCGCCTGGCCGTCGGGTTATCTGCGACGAAACGCCCGGCCAGGTGGCGAGGCGGCCCGAGTGGCTTCGTCGGCGAGTATTAGAATGTGATTTAGTGGCGAACGTATTTCTGTAAATATGCACAGGCAATAAGGGGAGATAGAGATGAGTGGATTTCGGAGGGGGGAGTGGGGGGGTGGGGGAGGGAGGGGAGGAAGTACATGAGGGTGAGGTTTATTGATGTAGAGAGGTTGATGTAAAGAGTGGATTTTGGGATTTGTTTTGTTTTGTTTTGTTTGGGTGTGAGTTCGAGAGAGGGGGGGAGGGAAGGAGAGGGAGAGGGAGGGAGAGTGTGTGAGTGAGTGTGTGTGCGTGTGTGTGTGTGTGAATGTGTGTGTGTGTGAATGTGTGTGTGTGTGTGTGTGTGTGTGTGTGTGTGTGTGTGTGTGTGTGTGTGTGTGTGTGTGTGTGTGTGTGTTTGACAGT